AGTGTGCCTTCTGGGGTAAGGTCAAACCATTGAAGGGTTACAGCGTCTGCTGTGGCTGTAGAGACTGATAGGGGAGAGACGTGTTTTGTGGCTACATCAGTGGGACTGGTATGCTGGCCTTACCCACAGGATCAATTCCTTTTCAGATACCCACATCAGTGCACCATTCTCCCACAGTCTAAAGGCATGGGAGATCATGCCACAAGGAAGTAGGATGAGGCCAGTTTACAGAAATCACGGGGTAAAACTGTTTTTGTAGCACAGATTGCATTTTATTCTATAACTGAGAATGGTTATGTTCTAAATTGTTTCTTTAAGAAAACAGCTGATCCTGTGAGTAAGGCCTTTCCCACTCGTGCCCACCCGGCCACTTTGGTTGGCAGAATTGGCACTGCAATAGGTGCCGCATAATACCTGTAATGGTTCTAGGGGTTGCTCGTGCATAAGCCGGTGCCGACACCTGGCTGGATTGCCTGAGTGAACCTTTTCTGTCCGGACAGCCACTCACCCGTGGCTGTCTCAATCGCTGGCAGAATCTGTCAGTGGGCGTTTCTTAAACTTCTTCCAGCAAAGAAGCTCTTTGACGCCTAGTCTCCTCCTACTTTCTCTGCGTGAAAGCCTTCTGCGCAAGGAGGGCATAGGCAGCGGAGGAGCTCTACTCTCCCCACTGGTCCCCGGCAAGGAGTCATGGGACCGCCTCGCTGCTTCCCCCATCTGCCCCCCTTCTCCACTGGTGCTACGCTGATTCTCTTCCCCAGAAGATGGGCTGCCTCTCCCAATCCCGGGGCGCTCTCCGGAATCCCTCTGGATTTTGCTCTCTCCCTCCGGCACTGATGGCAGTCCCCTGACAATACCCATTCCAAATTTGCAAGACCTCAATCGTTTAGTGTGGCAGTGCCTACACTTCGGAACTCCCTGCCTGTTGAGATCAAGCAGACGGCTTCACTGGCACCTACTTAAAACATTCTTGTTTAGACAAGCCTACCCAGATACTAAAATAGATTAAAATTGCCTCAACTTTCTAAGTATTTCAGCTTTTATGTTTTAAAGTAGGGTTGTGAATCTTTCTTGATTTTATCGTTGTCTCTTTTTGTAAACCACTTGGAGATATATTTTTTTACAATCAAATGGTGTGTAAATTTCATTAAATAAATAATGAAGCCAAAATCACACACCTATTTGCCTCATTAAATTCAACAAGACCACTACACCGTCAGAGTTTAACCCCCTCTCCCTGTCCTTCAGTGATTATTAAACATGTTGTTGTTGTTTAGTCATTTAGTCGTGTCCGACTCTTCGTGACCCATGGACCAGAGCACGCCAGGCATGCCTGTCTTCCACTGCCTCCCGCAGTGGATTATTAAGCATACCTTTTAAAATTATCTACTTTTTACTAGCCAGTTGGCGTATATGATGTGTTGCTCCCTTGCGGGATATCTTTGGGAGAAGAAAAGGCTCAGAAGTAAACACTAAGGGGTCAGCAAACTTTTTCAGCAGGGGGCCGGTTCACTGTCCCTCAGACCTTGTTGGGGGCCGGACTATATATTTTTTTTGGGGGGGATGAACAAATTCCTATGCCCCACAAATAATCCAGAGATGCATTTGAAATAAAAGGATACATTCTACTCATGTAAAAACACACTGATTTCCAGACTGTCCATGGGCCAGATTTAGAAGGCGATTGGGCCGGATCCAGCCCCCAGGCCTTAGTTTGCCTACCCATGCACACCATCATCATAAACTTTATTGCACTAGCCAAAGGCCATGGCATCATTCACAAAGGGAACAAAAAGAAAAGCAACAATAACCATAAAGACATCAGGCACTGCAAATACAATAAACCACAGTCACGTCTCCTAGAAGTTATTTGTTGCATACGGTAGAATAGCAGGGGGTTCTCAGGTAGAATATGCCAGCTTAAATGTCCGAATCACTTTTGCAATTTACCGCTATTTTATCTAGTTCTTTTCTCCTGATCTTCTTAGCTGCCAACGCATATAGTTCTACTTTATAAGTTACGAAGTCATCAGTCTCACTCAGCAGCCATTTCACCCTTTCCACCCTGTTCGAGTGTGTTCCATTCGTGAGCAGGGGTTTTATAAAGTAAAGCCTACTCAAATCCAGAGTGGAATCCCTGAGGTGGCTGGATGGTGCCTTGTACTCCTTTTTCCAGCAGCTCGCTGTGGGTTAAACCACAGAGCCTAGGACTTGCCGATCAGAAGGTCGGTGGTTCGAATCCCCGTGACGGGGTGAGCTCCCGTTGCTCCGTCCCAGCTCCTGCCAACCTAGCAGTTCGAAAGCATATCCAAGTGCAAGTAGATAAATAGGTACTGCTCTGGCGGGATGGTAAACGGCGTTTCCGTGCGCTGCTCTGGTTCGCCAGAAGCGGTTTCGTCATGCTGGCCACATGACTGTACGCCGGCTCCCTCGGTCAATAAAGTAAGACGAGCACCACAACCCCAGAGTCGGCCATGACTGGACCTCATGGTCAGGGGTCCCTTTACCTTTTACCTGCAGCCAAGCTGGTGCCAAATGTACTGCTCTGCTTTCCTTTGGACCACATCTGTGAGGCTGAGAGAGGGATCTTGTCATCTGGGCAGCCCAGGACCTCCAGGCCACTTCAGGGCTGCTAACACAACAGTTTGACATCACACACATCCCGGAGGTACACTCCATCGTCTCTTGAGACAGGTAGATGCCAACAACAACAATGTTGGCCAGTTGCTGGAAAAAGCACCAATGTTTGCCCTTTGCTTAAAGTTGCTGATGTAAGTTAGATTGTTTCATTGCCTCTCTATCGCCTGCCCCTGACTGCTTTGGCTTTCTCCATCGCTTGACAAAGAAAAGTGATCACTCCCATTTGCTCTCACAACAGTTGATTGGCGGCGGCTGCCTGACTGAAAACATCTGGCAACTTCCATGATGGGTCCTGCAAGCAGCTGGAGCCTCACCAGCCAATGACTCAACACCACTAGGGGTAGCACTAGAGGAAATTGCAGGCAACAAACAGTGAGTGTTCACTGATCGCCAGTTGAGCTCTGAACATGGAAGCAAACAGCAGCAGAAGCTGCTGTAGAAACAATGTGAAACGGGGAGGGAAGGAACTAGATTCATAAATATCTAAAACTAGCTGCGGGGCAGTCAGGCAACACCAGGAACAATGCAGAAGGCGAAAAACCACAGGGATATTTTTTTTTAAAAGCCTCCCCCCAAAATGATGTCATTGACAAATATTGTGGAGGGGGGAGTTCCTGCAGACCACAGGAAGGAGGACTTCTGGGGGGAGGCTGTATGACCCACATAGTAGCTACCCCTGCTTTACAGGTAGATTCCAAAGACTCAGGAACCAGCAGACTGGTCGGCCACCTTAACCATTTTAGAACATCTAATGGAAATGTATGAGTATGTTGTAATCCCAGAAACCTAAATATGTCTTACCTAGAAAAAGAATTTCAGATTCCCCACTAGAGAGGACATAATGGCATAATTTGTGAATGGCTATTTTTCAGTAAACTAGATGCCTCTTCAGACTTTTAGCAGTTACAGGTCACAGAGGGCAACCCCAAACTTTGTCCATGTAAAACTCCCTTTGGGAGGTATCACTTTGTGTCTTGCATCCCAGCAGCATCAGCCTCCCCTGTCTGAATCATATATACAAGCACAATGATGAAGGGATGCATCAAAGTAATGTTTGGGGTTCTGTCTGAGCTAAATGTGGCCGAAGGATTTGGGAAGGTCTTAAGAAATGACAAGAGCTACAAATTTAAGGAAGGAAACTGTGTGTTCAGGGTGACTGAACTGACATTTCTGGGAGATCTCTGCTGTGATCTCTGCTGTGAAAGGTTGCAAGTATTGAAATGATGTCCCAGCCCAGTCCAAGCAGCTCTTGGGGATGGCTGATTATGTAAGGGAATTCATACCAAACCTGTCATCCAGCACATGAATGGAGCTGGGAAGCATAGCAGACCAAGGTGTGGACTGTGTTGATTACGATTACCTTGTTAAAATCCTATAGCTACCGTAGGCTGCTTAAAATTTCTTTAGAGGCTTTACAGAACCCTTCTCTAACCTGATGCCCTCCAAGCCCTCACGTTATTCCTGCCCATTGACTATGCCGGCTGGCAATGATGGGAACTGCAGTTCAAAATATCTGGAGGGCACCAGGTTGGGGGACACTGGCTCATAGCCTGGATTAGGTGCAGTGATTCTACAGAACTGTGGCCATCCCTGAAAAACAGTGGCACACTGACAGAGGCAGAAGTCACTTACAGCGAAAGTGAAAAGGAGCCTCTTTGCCTGTCAGATAAATGACTTTATTCTGGGATCCAATGGATGATGATCAAGCGCCCAAATTGGTCGTGTCTTGCATGCTGGGTAAATACATATGCGCTCATCCATGGTGGAGGTGCTGCCCATAAGTGCACCCGCCCCTTGTTGCAGCCAGAAGGGACTTGTGCAGGCATAAGTAAATCATGCAGTACAAACAATAAATTAGCCAAAGGTAGCCCAATATTTGTCTCCATCCACACAGACCCTGCTAGATGTTATGAGTAGCAGCCTCAGAAGTGCAGAGAATGGCAGTTCAGGAGAGGCCTTTTTCTGTGTCGGACAGGATAGCTATTGAGACAGAAGGTTCTGGGAGACGAGGAACCAAATTGCCTGCCTTCTCCTCCTCAGAGGTTTCCTCAGTCCCAGTTTCTGGCCTGTCCAACTTGCCTTCTGGTCAGCGTGAGGGAGAAACCGTGTGGGGACAGCATGTGCACTCTGGTCTCTCAACATCCATCCTTACGTGATACACACGGATTCTTTGGCTGGTGGAAAACAGGAATAAAAAGAACTAGGCAGTTTTTATTTTGACAAGGCTGGAGGTTAATTTTAGTGGTGCAGTGAATTAAAGGGAGCCAAATTTGGCGACTTTTTCTTATCTAACAGCTGGAAGCCATGTTCCCTCAGAGATTAAAGTTCTTCAGTAGAAGAACCACATCCTTGAATCTAAGATTGCATAAACTCAGTAGAGTAGAGCATGAGACTCTTAATCTCAGAGTCGTGGATTTGAGCCCCACGTTGGGCAAAGGATTCTTGCATTGCACAGGTTGAACTTGATTACCCTTGTGATCCCTCCCAACTCTACAATTCTATGATGATATGAAACTAGTGTGCAGGTTTTCGAGTGCTTCAGAATTCTTCATCAGGCCAGGCGATAAAACATTTGCTGGTAGGAGAAGGGGGAAGACTGGTTGTTGATGAAGCCACAGAGTCTGCTTTTGAGGGCCGCAGCCTGAAATGAACAAGAGAATGTCTGAAGGTTGGGTTTTCTGAAAGTAGCATTAAAATTTTGCATAAAAAATGTAAAAAATACAGGATAAATATTTTATGCCAGTCAATCTAGGATGCTTTCAGTTATGAACCAATGGTTTAGAAGAAATTCTAACACAAAAAACACAGAGTTTGAACTTCATAGTAAAGCCTCATAGGACAATGACTATTTCTTCAGATACTGTTAAGCTTGATAGGCACAAAGTACTGAGAGGTACTCTGAGGAAAGCTGGCCTCAGAAAAGTTGGAAGCCTTTAACTAAGGCCATGTACCCAATCCTGTTTACTCTGGCTCCAGGGTGCTCCCACCACTGGTTTTTTTTTAAAGGAGTGTACACATGATGCTAGCCACAATCTGTATGCATTCTGTATCTATCATGCTGTTTTTTAAAGGAAATATTGTGTTGTGATACATTTCCCTCAAACTAGCTTCACCTCCAAACTGGGGAAAAGAAAGACCTTAGCTGTGTTTTAAGGTGGTAATGTGTACACAGCATATGTGTTTTAAGGTGGTAATGTGTTACTCAGAGTATTCCCACTGAAGTTAATGGTCTTAACCTGGTCGTGTTCATTCATTTCATTGGGCCCAAGCCAAATAAAACTTAATTGAAGACCACCCCAAAATGTTGGTGTGCATAACTAGCAGTCCTTCATCTAAAGTTGAATTTCCTCTTTTCCTGGGCAGCTGTGTTTGTAGACTAGGCATTCACACCTGGCAGAGTCTTGATAACTTGTTCTTTTTTCAAGCCTCACTCGGGCAGTTAACCAATGTGGTGGCTCACATGATGGAGTGCTCCCTCATGAGAAAATAATCCCTAGACATAGACAACTTACATTTTAATTCTCTATGTGCAATGAATTTGAGGTGGGGGGGCAGGGCTTTTTTTCAGCAGGAACTTGCAGGAACTAAGCTCTGGCATCTCTCAGTTCAGGCGCCATTGCCATTATTAGAGAACAATGGAGGCGCTCGTAGAGAGCTCTGGCACTTCTTTTTCTAGAAAAATAGCACTGGGGGTGTACGTACATTAATCCTGTGAACCTCCACTGCAGCCCTAATACATGTTTACCACTAGGTTTATTTAAGCTCTGGCAAAGCATACGGCATAGTGCAAGTTGACTGGTTTTCACATGTTGCCATACAATGTACCATCATCATGTCTTTGGAAGGTTCAAAGTACCCATTATAGAGTATCTCTGCAACAACAGTAGTGCTATCCTTGTAGCAGAGATCCCATTCACTCCCTGCCCACCAACAAAAATACAGTGGTACCTCGGGTTAAGAACTTAATTCGTTCTGGAGGTCCGTTCTTAACTGAGTTACCACTTTAGCTAATGGGGCCTCCTGCTGCCGCAGCACCATTTCTGTTCTCATCCTGAAGCAAAGTTCTTAACCCGAGGTACTATTTCTGGGTTAGTGAAGACTGTAACCTGAAGCATCTGTAACCTGAAGCATCTGTAACCCGAGATAGTGTCTATCTCCACAACCTGAAGAAGATAGAAAACATAGGTCCTAATCCATGGGAATATCCATTTCCTACATCCCTCAATTGGGAGAACTGTCTATTTATTTCTACTTGCTGCTTCCTGTTTCTTACCAAATTACTGACCCATAAGATTACTTCTCTTATTCCATGACTGCTAAGCTTCCTCAGGGGTCGTTGTTAAATACTTTTTGAAAGTCTACGTATTCAGTGTCAACTGGATCACCTCTGTCTATATGCTTGTTGACACTCTCAAAGGATTCCAAAAGGTTAGTGAGACGGGACTTATCCTTCCAGAAGCCAGGCTGCTTCTGCTTCAGCAAGACTTGTCTTTCTGCATGTGTGGTAATTCCATCTTTAATAATGCTTTTCCACTCAGCATAATGCCTTCTACTCACTACGAAACCATTACAGTGGTGCCTCAGGTTAAGTACTAAATTCGTTCCAGAGGTCTGTTCTTAACCTGAAACTGTTCTTAAACTGAAGCACCACTTTAGCTAATGGGGCCTCCTGCTGCCGCTGCGCCGCTGGAGCCCGATTTCTGTTCTTATCCTGAAGCAAAGTTCTTAACCTGAAGCACTATTTCTGGGTTAGCGGAGTCTGTAACCTGAAGCGTATGTAACCTGAAGCGTATGTAACCCGAAGTACCACTGTATTAGACATTAAAAGTGTTAAGTTGTGGGTGAACATATCAGATGACACAGCGATTCTTCAAACAGATCTTTATTTGTAAGCTGGAACAGAACTGAACGGCAAACAGCTCAGCCGGCCTGCTTTTATAGGCAGCCGGCTGTCAACATTGTAGCAACAACAACACAGGGTTTCCCGCCTAAAATGACTGACGTGGACCTGAGTGAAAACTATATACACGATACTCCTGGTGGCCAGGGTGAGGACTTCAATACATAACAAAAACATTTCCACTGAGTGTGGAATATGGAATCAGACCAACTAGCTGAGTGTGGCTCTGACAGACAGCATTTTCTCATACAGAGAGGGGTGTTTCCCAGATCTGCTATCTGAGATATTATAATTTAGGTGGTCGCTATTGCAGTACACTTTTGAGGTTTTGGTTTACACCATGGGTAGGCAAACTAAGGCCTAGGGCTGGATCTGGCCCAATTGCCTTCTAAATCCGGCCCACAGATGGTCTGGGAATCAGCGTGTTTTTACATGAGTAGAATGTGTCCTTTTATTTAAAATGCATCTCTGGGTTATTTGTGGGGCATAGGAATTCGTTCATTTCCCCCCAAAAAATATAGTCCGGCCCCCCAGAAGGTCTGAGGGACAGTGGACCGGCCCCCTGCTGAAAAAGTCTGCTGACCACTGATTTACACTTTTCTTTAGCAGATATTATTTTTCTGGTTGTTTTAGTATGTGGGGTTTTTGTAAGTGTTCTCTTTCCTTGGGAAGAGCTGTGACCCTTTTAAAATAATAATTGGGGGGCCAGTTGCTTAGTATCTGAGCTGCGTCTCATGCCCTGTTTGTCATTTTGCACCACTTAGAACAAATCCCAGCTGGCGAGAATCCTAGTCCTGTGGACTGTGAGTCATGGATATTAAATAACCATCATATGAGCTGCTGTGTGCGGCTGGGGGTGGAGGGGCTGGAGAAAGGTATGTCACTGTAGTGTTGTACAGTATCTTATCACAGAACAGCTTGTAGAGAACAGATAATTAACATAAAGGCACAGCTCAGGTTTATTTTAGGCACAGCACGGAACAAGTATGCTTGGAACTGCCGAGAGAAACCAGTCTTTAGTTTGGAGGAAAATTAGGGTATGCGGTCTCCCCAATGATCCGTGTGGCCATTTTCAATTTAACAAGCCGGGGCGTCATGCCCAAGAAATCTCTCTACAATAGCGGATATTTTACTGAGGACGGAATAAGCTAGTTTTCATGAGAGTGGCATTTTCTGAATGATGTTTGCATGTTGCTTTTAACAGCCTGAGTAGCTTGCTATTGCGCAGGATGTGTTGGACTATTGCACTTCACTTTCCCCCATGGAAATAGATACACTGCACACCATCAAGCTATTGTATTTTATTCCTCATTTTGTGCAGTTTTGCAAGAAATTGGGAGTTTTTCTTTTCACTGTTGTAAGGCAGGGATAGGGGGAACTAGATCTGATCAGTGGGCTGGATCCTTGCCTACTCAACCCTCATGGGTCAAGCTTGACAAGGCCAGCCACCTGTAGATCATCTGGAGTCGCAGTGGTGTCACTAGAGCCTGATTTGGCTTGCAAGGGTCTTCGGAGTGTTCTACATGGCCCAACCATCTGCTGATGGTCAGGTCCTGCAATGCCCCTTGCAAGGCACTTCAGAAGACTTGTCAGTCAAGCAGAGCAACACTTTGCAAGGTGCTTTGGGGTAAGCTGATCAACAGTGCCTACAAGCCCCTTTCAGTCCTTACCTGCCCTGCACTTGGTGTGATATAACTCAGCAGGTACAGGTTATGTGATCCGGCTTGGCCGAAATAACCCTGTGGGCCAAATGGAGAGGCTCCATAGGCCTAATCAGGCTCATGGGCTCCCACAGCTGGTGCCTCTGAAAAGCAGGCTTCTTCCCCTTGTTTGCTGATGGGAAGAAAGAAGCCTGGTTTCTGCAGGCACCAGGTATGCGAGGAGTTCTCCTTGGTGCTGCAGATGCTCCCTAAGCAAAGCCAGCCCTCACTGCTCATCCGCTAATAGATGGTGGAGGCAGATACCTTGCTCCAAACAAAGGAACAATTCAGAGCTTACTTTAAGCTCCCAACAGTTCCTTTGAAGCTATGTCTGTACCTGCCCCACACCTAAAGTCCTGTGGGTGGGGGGCATGGTTTGGAGGATTGGCCTCAGGGGCAAAATTGATTTTTAGGTTGGGCTTTTTTGATAATTACATATATGCTGATTAGTCCCAATTTATCAGACTTAGGTTCAGGGCTTTTTTCAGCCAGAACACATCAGAACTCAGTTCCAACACCTCTCAGGTGGGCACCATTGCCATTATAAGAGAACAAGGGAGGCATTCGTGGCACCTCTTTTTCTATAAAAATACACTGGAAATGTTTCTATCCATTCCACCTTTCCCCTGAGGTTCTCAAGGTACCATTCATGGGTCTTCTTTTCCCCATGTTATTCTCACAAGAACACTGTAAAGTGGCTTAAGCTGAGAAAGAGGGGACATGCCCAAACCACACATCGTGTTTCATAGAACCAAGTGGTGTTTTTAACCCTGGTCCCTCAGATCCTATTCCATTTAATATACAGGTAACTTGCATTTTTCGCAAGGGTTCAGTGGCAGGGGCTGTCTTGCCAAAGGCAAGGTGGTCCTTTTAAACTGAGATTCAGAAGCAATACAAAATACACAAGTGTGTGAGAAGATTAAATATTTTATTCTAAATCGGCAAGCAATGTATACATACCAAGCAAGCCCTTCAATCTGCCACTTGGAAGCCCTCAAGAAGCGGCGGAAATGACTCCCCCAGGTAGCCTCAGTTTGCGGGGCCCTGCGGCCCATCAGTCCATGCACAAGCTTAAAAGAAACTCTGCCCAAACCGTCCAATTCTGTAGACAACCTGTGTGGCTTCCAAGACTGGCTACGTGTAGATCATCCACCAGCCACCCCCTCCCAATGCCTCACTTTCTCAAAACAATGTCCAGCATCAAAGAAGGTACCCAGCATTATCCTCCACAACTGAATAAGGCAGCTGGATGGGGGGGCTCCAGCAGGACATTAAAGACTGTTATCACATCATCAAAAAACTTAACAAGAGCGAGGGAGGGGGAAGGAACAGAGGCAGGAAGGGTAACCGTGTCAGATCACTCGCTCCTCCATACGTTTTTGTCTTCCTGATGCATTCCACACATATACACAGGTCCACACATATATGCAAAAACGTGTAAAGCCGGGAACTCCCAGAACTGGCTCCCCTGCAAGGTGGAGAGCTGCTTACTGGGCTTGGGGGAGGTGGTGTGGGGGCTCTGCCAGGGGCCCACAGTCCTCCCGCCGCCTTCCCAAAACCTAGTAAGCACTTGCCTAACTTTGGGAAGGAGGCACGAGGGCTCTAGGACTCTGCCAGAGTAGGGCATGTTGACTTCTTCCATTTTCAACTTTCAAAAATGAGTGGTGCTGAAAAGTCGTAACATGACAGGAATTGAAAAGATATTTTGGTTAAATTGAAATAATTTAGTTTCGCTTGGTAAGTAAAATGTGTGTAGAGTTGCATAGAAATAGTTAAAAATGATTGCCAAGTCCTTGCAGTTATACTATTATGTTGTTGTTATTGTTGTTTCTTATTATTATTTAGCATTACCTAACATTTTCAGAAGGTAAAATTAAAATTCTTGTTTTTTCAAGCTAAATGTTGTCCAATCACAAAAATAATAGCACCCAAAAACATATTTTTAGGACCCCCTCACTGAAAAGAATTGCAGAATTTAATTATCACCTCCTAAATGACACGCCCTACTGCCAGAGCCCTCGTACCTCCTTGCAAAAGCCAAAGCCAGGTAAGCCCATGATCGAAGCTTTGTACAGGTGGGGGAGTAAATGAAGGGAGGGTGGGTTTCCTCCCCTCTCTGTTTATTTTTTTATTTCCCCTCCCCACAACACAAAGCTGTGATCACAGAAGTAAAACAACAAAACAAGCGAGTTACCTGCACCTACACCTCATTCCATATTCTAGAAGCGAATAAGCTGGGAGAGGGAATAATTTTCTCTGGAAATCTATATGGTGACCCTTGTCAGCAGTCCCATGTGGCAACTTTAAGGCCAACTAATTCAGGCTTCATGCTTATTAGGCAGCAATCCCCATCGAATTCAGCCAAATTCTATTTTTAAGTAATGTGTGCCACAGGGCCAACCCAATACATGTTGGCACCTGAGGAAAACTACAGAATGGCATTCCCTCTCCCCACAAGGGAAAAAGGGGTGAGTGAATATCTAAATCAGGAACGGGGTGGTGGTGGAATAAAGTTCTACATCTTCTGCCCCTGTGGATCCTGCCACCTTGTCTCCTGGGTGGCCCAGCCCTGTTGTGCAATGATCCCATAATAGAAATTGTGACAGCAAGGGCACATTCTGAACCAAGGTAAGGGACCCTGGGGTTAAGTATTTCTAAGACTGCAGTGTTTAAGTGTCTACTGTTCCTTTGCAAAGGAGGAAGATAAGAAGGGAACGAGAAGCAACTGTGACAGCAGGGACCCATTTGAACCAAAGTAAGACTGTATTCAAATCTAAGTTAGATGCTAAGTATTTGTCAAAGTGCAATGCTTAAGTGTTCACAGTAACTTTACAAGGGAGGAGGATGAGGAGAAAGCCAAAACAACTTGGTTGAGTCTCCATGACCTCTTTGGCCGTGCCAGGTCTGGCAGCCACCAGCCATCACTGCATATAAAAACCGTTATGAGAATTATAAGGTCCAAAGTATAAAATAAATGAATAAATGTACCAGGCAAACACATACATAAATATACAAACCACATGTCTGAAACAGTACAGGAAGAAAAGTTCTGAAACCATTTTGTCTCTCCCAAATTGACCTCAAATATTCCTCTGCAGTTTGGATGGAAATGGGAAAACCTGCCTTAAGGGCACATTTAAGATATGAATAGGGTGAGCCTGTGACCTGGACTCAGCAATTAAGTATTTATCATCACAAAAGAATAGCCAGACTCTCCAGATAAACCCATCAACAGGTTTCCTGCCAGACAGAATTCTGCTGTAGACCACGCCTTCTGTGATGTATGTATGATGAATTGGGGGGTGGTCTTGGGCTGCAGGGTGGCAATTTCAAAAAGTCTATATAAGGCCGTGCGCACCGTTGTTCTGGGTTCCTCCACCCTCATGCATGTGGTGAGTGAGGACCCTGTTGCAACAGTTAATAAAGATCAGGCTTACTAGCTGCTTTGCTTCTCAATAGTCTCTGGTTGGTCTCTGATTTTCTCCTACCAACAGAGAACCTACAAAAGGACTCTGTATGGGCTCTTGGGTACCCCATAAGGGAAAAGGAGCAGTTATTTTCTTATAACAAAACACTTGGTTATTTTGCAGGGCTAACTTGGCCCACACTTTCTCAACCATAGCCCCACTCCCTACAGTATGGGTGTGAGTTTTATCTGCATCAGCATTGACAAAGTAATTTTTAAAATGTTTTTCAAATGCATAAAACATGTATGAAATGGTCAGAGGCAGTAATGTTTCCGAATACCAATTGCTGGAAACTGCAGGAGGGGAGACTGGGGCATCTGGTCCATTAGGCTCTTCTTAAAACCTTAAAATGTGAGTTGGAAAGATTATGAAGTCCTCTCTTTGAAGCTACCTTTTGCTTCTGGATTGACAAGATATAGCTACACAAAAATCCCGGATACCTGAATTGTTTTCTACAGGGCAGCAATCACTTTTCCATCAGGGAAGACCAGCAGAAAAAGCTTAAAAACAAATCAGGAATGTCCTTCTCTAGAACTTAGAAAATGGGTGTTTTCACTCTAGCCTTTTCTTTGTCTAACATTTGGCTAGAACTGTTTTCCATAGTGTTAATCATGGCTATGACTTCATTCATTGATTGAAAACATGGAAAGGTGAGAGCAGGCTAGTTTCTCACAAAACAAATGTGAATAGTACCTGCACATTTTGTCTCCTATCTCAGATTCTACAAGTGCAATGGGCTTTTTTAAAAAAAAGAAAAGAAAAGAAAGCTGGGAATCTTGAGATAGTGGCTCACCCAACGCTGCAATTGTCCCCCTTGCCCTCTTCCAAGCTTGTGGGCATCCTCATTCTTCTGACTTCCAGTAAGATTTTCTCTTAATATTCTGATTTAAACTATCTATTGTTGGTTTTACACATGAAAATACTGCATATTGGTGCATGCCACCCAAATCTCTGAATGGTGCAAGATTGCAGAGGTTCCAGGCATTTACCCAGGGATTGTGCTTTCGGGAGGGATGCAGGTGGCGCTGTGGGTTAAACCACAGAGCCTAGGACTTGCCGATCAGAAGGTCGGCAGTTCGAATCCCCGCAACGGGGTGAGCTCCTGTCGCTCAGTCCCTGCTCCTGCCAACCTAGCAGTTCGAAAGCACGTCAAAGTGCAAGTAGATAAATAGGTACCGCTCCAGCAGGAAGGTAAACAGCGTTTCCATGCGCTGCTCTGGTTCGCCAGAAGCGGCTTAGTCATGCTGGCCACATGACCCGGAAGCTGTACGCCGGCTCCCTCGGCCAATAAAGCGAGATGAACGCCGCAACCCCAGAGTCGGTCACGACTGGACCTAATGGTCAGGGGTCCCTGTACCTTTACCTTGTGCTTTCAGGAATGAAACACAGTGGGGTGACTTTGTGATATATGGTTTATTTACACATATATACAACCTGAGCCTAGGATGGAGGTGTTCACGGCATTAACACACCAAGAAGTCCTTTCTTCCCACATAGCTGCAACCTTGGATTCAAGCAGAAATTAAGCATTGCCGTTTCTTTCTCCAGCTTGCTGCTTTACTTCTAAGTCGCATCACTGTCTTTTTCTGGCTACCAGCCAGTTGAGGGAAGGGGCTCCACACATCTGCAATCTCGCACAGATCCACTTTCCTTTGTTTCACTTAATGGCCCATCGCCCAGGCGATCACCTGGATATTCTGCTCATTGTACTTCAGGCTCCAGCTTCCAGGACACTGATCTTAGGGTGTTAGAAAGTGCTCCCTTGATATCTGGGCTTGGGTTCTTCCTCACAAGTCCAGCTGTTTTTGTTGTTGTTTAGTTGTTTAGTCATGTCCGACTCTTCGTGACCCCCATGGACCAGAGCACGCCAGGCACTTCTGTCTTCCACTGCCTTCCGCAGTTTAGTCAAACTCATGCTAGTAGCTTCGAGAACACTGTCCAACCATCTCGTCCTCTGTTGTCCCCTTCTCCTTGTGCCCTCCATCTTTCCCAACATCAGGGTCTTTTCTAGGGAGTCTTCTCTTCTCATGAGGTGGCCAAAGCCCAGCTACTGCCCAGCAAATCCAGGGTTAAATTTATTAAAGTATTCAGTTTAAATTCAGATAAGCAGAAATTACAGATAAGCACTGGGGTTATGCTGTAATAAAGAGGGTCAGTCTTTTTGCATCTGAAAAAGAAAATGATGCCAGACTAGATGCAAATTAGTCTCATTAGTCAACCAAAAAATAAAAAGATGATAAAGAAGCTGTTAAATGAAGACCTAACACGGGAAATGTAACCTTAAAAAAACCACAAAAAAAATCTGTATAATTCCATAAGCAGGGAGGGTCATAGTGAGCTGCCAAGTGAGGCTATTGAATTACCTTTACTGCAGTTATTTAAGTCACCCATCTGGTAAGGGTAACATGAGGATAAAAAGGGCTTTGTTATGAATGGAAATGAACTGATCTAACTTACTTGTGGACCTTCCTACACCAAATGGTCTTTTGGGTTCAAATGCCTTGCACAGATTCAGTTATTTTTCACAACACTAATCTCTGCAATCACAAGGTAATGGTTTTGCTTGGAATAAGCCTATATCAAGCACCCATACAGATGGAGAGACACTCACTAAAGAGGCAGAGAAAGGGTCCTCCCCTTCTCAGCATGAGCTTGGGCCCTGCGTTTCTGTTGTGCTGAGACAGCAGGAGACAAAGGGTTGATGTAGATAACCTTAGGAAGCCAGGGAGACTTGGGCAATGGTGTCAACTAGAGCAAGAAGAATGTGGGACACAGGAGCTCCTGATCGAAGACCAACTGCCTGTGCCAGGATGAAATTGCTTAAAGAGGCTGCCATGAGTTATATGAGCCAGTTAAAAGAACACCAAAATGCTTCTTTCACTCTGGGGCTGAAGTCAAACCACTGGAGAATCCCAGCGCCTGCTGTAGCTGCAGAGACCAGTAACTCGTAACTGCTGACTCCTGTGTTGTTTTTGCTGCATTAGCAACACCAAAGTGGCCTGGGCAGTGTGTATGGACATCCTGGGCTGCCCCGCCAAAGTATTCAAAAAGTCTCTTTATTATAATATAATTAAGGAATATTTCTGTCTAGAATGAATAAGGTCGCGCTCACCTGCAGAAAGGATGGTGGGATCTGAACTCAGTGCTCTTTTCCAGAGCCAAGAGAGCTTTTGTGGGAGCAGAAAATTTTGCATTGCAGAGCACTAGAAGCCCATTAGTACTGCAAGGGTCAGGTGGGGTCAGCAAAACCCATCTTGCTGCGAATGTGGTATATAAAAACAACATGCTTGGTTTTTATACTTCAGGGTACCAGCCCAATCAGCAGATTTGTAACTGAACAGATTATTATAATGAAGCCACACAACTCCAGGCATCTCTCCTCCAAAGAAAACTCACCATATGAAGGTTGTGCTGAATTTCTTGTCGGTTTGGAAAAGGTAGAAACAAAACAATAAGAGGTTTTTTTAAAAAAATTAAAAACTCATGCCATATATTGCAAGGTGGGAAAGCCAACATTACCATCAAGTTCTCAGCTTTTCCCATAAATGCTACATAATGTAAGGGATGCAATCCTTAATCTTTTTGAGGAGGGAGGGAGGCAATCCTCAGCTATTCATGCAAGTTTAGTAGCCCACTACCCATATGTTCAGGGACGCGGGTGGCACTGTGGTCTAAACCACAGAGCCTAGGGCTTGCCGATCGGAAGGTCGGCAGTTCGAATCCCCACGACGGTGAGCTCCCGTTGTTCAGTCCCTGCTCCTGCCAACTTAGCAGTTCGAAAGCACGTCAAAGTGCAAGTAGATAAATAGGTACCGCTCCGGCGGGAAGGTAAACGGCGTTTCCGTGCGCTGCTCTGGTTCACCGGAAGTGGCTTAGTCATGCTGGCCACATGACCCGGAAGCTGTCTGCGGACAAACGCCGGCTCCTTCAGCCTATAGAGCAAGATGAGCATGCAACCCCAGAGTCGTCCGCAACTGGACCTAACGGTCAGGGGTACCTTTACCTTTACCTTACGCATATGTTCAAATATAAATGCCAGTTCCTGACATCCTGTCCCACACTTTCAAAATCTCATCACACTCTGCAGAACCAACAGACTGAAGCCAAGATAGGGCTGTGCAGTTAGAGGCAAACTCCCTTCTCCATGGCTGGGATCCTTAGGGATAGGTTTAGCCCTCACCTGATTAGGTCTATGATGCACCTTCCTTGGTCCTCCCATATAAGAGAAGAGCTGTCTGTTTACTCCTGTGGAGAAAAGTTAAAAGATGTGCTTCGGGGTGTGTTTGTGGGGAAGGAAAAACTAAATGGTTCTTTGCCCTGCTGATAAAGGCCACGTGGACAGGATTGTACAACAAGGCACTCCCTCCACCTCCAAGGGCCTTGCAGTACACAAGCCCTCTCACCGCACATGAATACACATCAGCCATCTAGCATTTTTCCAGCATCCAAACCCCACTGCCATGAAAAGCAAATCACAGAACTCTGCACAATACTTAGCTCATTAATCTAATCTTCTGCCCTCCCTTCCCATCAAGGGCACAATGAGAAGGGAACGCAGCTAAAGAGGCTCCATGTTTTCTCTGAATACTATCCTGTGATTTCGAATACTTTGTGCTAAATCTTGCTTACCATAATTGCATGAATAGCTACAATGAAATCAAGAGGCATAGTTGCATTGTGGTTTCATGTGGGTCAAACCCCTTTGAGAATAGCATTATTTGCTCTGTTTTAACAGTTCCTGGGCAACAGTGCAGAGGCTGAGGAGGCATGAGAAAATCACAGCAAATAAGAAAAATGTACTCAACCATACAATATTGCACAACAGAGATATAGTTTCAAGAAATGGGATGCTTTATTGCCTTCCTTATTTTAACACATTCACTTGTGCCTAGAAGTTGCGGGGTTTATCCATAAAATTTAAAGCAAAACAGGAAGCCTTGCCCCACAATGCGGCAGAAACTAGGTTGAAAAAGATTTCCAAACAAATTTCCTTCTGCTTCCTCTGCTAGCATTGTTGAACTGTACCATGGTATTTTTTAAGGGACGCGGGTGGTACTGTGGTCTAAACTACAGAGCCAAGGGCTTGCCGATCGGAAGGTCGGTGGTTCAAATCCCTGTGACGGAGTGAGCTCCCTGCACGGTCCCTGCTCCTCCCAACCTAGCAGTTTGAAAGCAGCGGGAAGGTAAACGGCGTTTCTGTGCGCTGCACTGGTTCGCCAGAAGCGGCTTAGTCATCCTGGCTACATGACCTGGAAGCTGTCTGCGGACAAACGCCGGCTCCCTCGGCCAGTAAAGCGAGATGAGCGCGCAACCCCAGAGTCGTCCGTGACTGGACCTAACGGTCAGGGGTACCTTTACCATGGTATTTTATTCTTACATTCACCCTAAAATGAGTGGTGAGAGGTTCCAGGAAGTTCCAGCATGATCACTGGAGGCTAATGGGGGTTTCTGCAGTACAAGGTTTTGCTTAGTCCTGGATTTTCACAGAAGGCAGAGTCAGGCCCCTGTCTCTTTCAGATCCCGTTCCAACCTTGCCAGTCTATGGTTCTCTTTCGCACCATAGGCACCACCTCTAGCCAGGGGAGGGGAGAAGCGAGACATGCTCCCTTCCAGAGGGATCTCCAGCCATTAGCTCTTTTGGGGCATCTTTTTAGCTATGCAAAGGCCCGTCCTCCCAGCCAAGAGTCATCTCTTGGACTCAACTTGTCCAATTAGTCAGATCGCTTTATCAGTCTCTTTTTCTACAGCTGTGAAATCATAGGGCTGGAGGGGACCCCAAGAGTCATTCAGTCATAACTACGATATGATGGCTACCTAGGTGTGTAATAAGAAAAAACCTATCGGAAATAGTTGCAGGTGCCTGCCTGTACCTTGGTAAAATTATAACTACACGGATACCTCTGGATGCGAACGGGATCCGTTCCGGAGCCCTGTTTGCATCCTGAGTAGAACATAACACGCGACTGCGCGTCTGCGCGTGCATGGGTCGCGTTTTGCTGCTTCCGCGCATGTGTGTGATGTCATTTTGAGCGTCTGCGCATGCGCATGCGCGAGCGGCGAAACCCGGAAGTAACGCATTCTGTTACTTCCGGGTCGCTGCAGAGCGTAACCTGAAAACGCTCAACCTGAAGCATATTTAACCCGAGGTATGACTGTATTAAAAACTAGCTCAAATTCTTGTGCTGCATTTTTTAAAAAAAAAATCTCCCCCACCTCCTTCCAACTTGTTATTTGGAGGGTATTTCTTTGCAAAGTCTTTGCCCCTCTTCCGTGCAACTAGATGACAAAAAGAGAAGAGGCTAAAATAAGGAATGACACGTTGACCCTCCCACTCCAGAACTTTGAGGCAGAAGGGGGATTTTATTTCTTCCTAGAGGGTCCAACCCCTTTTCCTTGATCCATACAAGTTAATGGGCACATGTGTTGACATTTCTCTCCTGGGGGTGGAAGCAGAATCCAGTGCACTGGGATTCCATAATGGACTCTCCCAGTCCACACGGCCTGGGGAAAATGTACAAATTGGATCAATGGAACCCACACAAGGCCAGACTCCTTGAACTAAGAGGCGCCACTCTTCTGAGTTTACAAAGGTACATCCAGATGCATGGGCGAGTGGCAAGCTAATGTGGCTTCTACCACCACATGCATTGAAAGGAACATAGCAGTGCCCCATGTTGATGGGGCTTGATGACACACCATCACTCTCAGGGAGATTTGATGGGGGGGGGGATATGGCTGACCCCCGCCCCAAACGTCATAATGTACAGCCACCTTATAAAGTGGTACGAGTTGTAAATACTACTTTAAAAAAATAAAATCTCCCCAGTCCAATTCCATCCTGTTTTTCCATGAACTGTGCAGTGCAGGCAGTCTATTCAGCAGGCCTTGTAGTTGTCCTAATAACCTGTGAACCTTCCTGAATATGGAGGGTAATCCATTAAATGTAGTTCAAGAAGGCCTCTTTTCTTGATTTCATCCCTTGAACCGTTTCCATGGAATACTCTCCATATTCAGAAAATTTTACAGGTTGCCAAACTGTCAGCTAATGCTGTAATGAATGGTTCTAATTACATTCAAGTAGCAGAGAGCATTGCCATTTTAATCAAATCTGATCCTAGCGAGCTATTTGGCAGAAGCACAAGAGAGAGCCCAAAGAAAGCACAGCCAAACTGTGAGTAACCTTTTTATTCTAAATTCTGCCTGTCAACAGACTGAATACTCAACTGCTTCGAGAAGGCTTGGTTTTGTTTTTGAAGTAGATTCTGTGGCTTCACCATAAATTACCCTAAACTGCTCAAAAAAACTCAAATATTAAAGATTAACGAGCTAGGCCATTGCATCACAGCATCAGTCAGAACACTAATCCATCTTGTGTTGTGTCTTTCCTTAAGGTAGCTTGCCAAAATTTGTTCGGCTTGCGTACGGGCTAGGTCTGCTTTGCCCCATCAAGCCCAATGGAGTCCAGCAGCTGCCCGTTGCAGCCAGTTACGGGTTTCTTAAATTGTATGCCTTTGCTGTCAGTGGCTATAAAAAGATAGCATAAATCAATCTTCTCACAAAAGGTAATTCTGGGGCATCATTTCCGCAGGCAGACAACAGTAGCAACATTCTTGTGGGTGGCCAGCTAATTACTTCTGAAAGCTTCCAAGAAAGAAGAGCATGTTGACAATGACTGCTTTTTGTTCTCTGTTGTATTCAGTTCTCAGTATACGCAAATACTTAGATGGGGTGGTATCCAATGAAGTAGTTCTGGCTGTGTGGCAGAACCTCTGCTCCCTCTCTTCTCCTCATAAGCCCCCTAAATATGTTGTGGGTTTCTCCCCACACCAGAGCAGAACTGGGGAGGGCATGGGGGCCAAATGAAGACAGGAAAGGAGAGGAGAGGGCAATTGTTGTGGGGAATTTCTGTTGAATCCTGTTAACTTTGAGTTTGAGTTTTGAGACATTAGCAGTACCTAGTCCTTAACAGCACCCAGTAGTTCAGGGGAAAGGGGGCAGGGCAAAGGTGGAAGAGGGAAGTAAGAATGTGGCGGGAAGTCATCATAAAGCTCTCTTTGAGAAATACAGGTGTCCTCAGTGGTGCAGAGTGACTTCCATCAGCTTCGGCTGGTGGTCCAGTGGCACCCCATCTGAACAGGGATTTCCTAACTTCTGTGGCCTATGCTCTGGTAACCTCTAGGTTAGATAACTACAATAGGTTATATGTGGGGCTGCCTCTGAAGACAGTTTGGAAACATCAACAGCTGAGTTGCTCAGTTGGCCAAGACATATAACGCCGATCCTGGCCACATGGCACTGGCTGCCAATTAGCATATAACGCCACATGGCACTGGCTGCCAATTGGCATATAACGCCGATCCTGGCCACATGGCACTGGCTGCCAATTAGTTTTAGGACCCAATTCAAAGTACTGGTGCTAGCCTATAAAGCCTTACATGACTGAGGACCTTAATACCTTAAGGACCACCTCTCCCCATATGATCCCATAGCTCAGTGCATGAGACTTCTAATCTCAGGGTCTAGATCTGAGCCCCAGGTTGGGCAAAAGATTCCTGCCTTGCAGAGGGTTGGACTAGATGACCCTCGTGCTCCCTTCCATCTCTACAATTCCATGACCCTGTGCTTGTCCTCCAAGCCCCTTCTCTGTGTCCCCCTCCGCGCATGCACCCCCCAGGCACCTGCCACACACGCTGCTCCGCTAGAGTCCCTAAGACAGCCTTCTTCCAACAACTCCTGCAGCCAAACTGATGCCAAACGTATTGCTCTGCTTTCCTTTGGACCACATCAGCAAGGCCAAGTCTTGTCATCTGGGCAGCCCAGGACCTCCATTCATTCTGCCCAGGCTTGTACTCTGGAAAGGTCCCTTCGGTGTTGCTGATGCAGCAAAAGCCATGTGGGAGGGCAGGAGTTACAAGTCACTGCCTCTGCATCCACAGCAGGCCCTGTGATTCCCCAGTGGTTTGGCTTCACCCCTCGAGACAGACGGATGCCAACAAGAGGGGGGAAAGAGTGTCGGCAGCGATACTGTCGCTGTCAGTCAAAGTAGGACTATTTCCTAGTATTTGAATTCAGTTTGTTCCAATTTAGAGCTAAAAAAACGAGTTTTCCCTGGGAAAGGAGAAGGGCAAGGAGAAAACCACTTGCACCCGTGCTTTCTGGGCAAGCGGAAGTGTGGATGAGCCCATAGTAAACTGCCTTATAGCAGGCCATCCAATGCCATCCAATGCTACAATACCAG